CCCTACTTTCTGTGGTGATCCACATTTAATGGACATAGGATTGGTAGAAATTCTATACCACAAAAGCAATGGAAACTGTTCAGTTCAGAACTATACTGACTGAGAAAAAAGACAGGTCTTCACTCCCTCTGAGAAAAATACTGCCATTGCCCAAACTTCTTCAGCAAGCCTGCCTCAGGCTCAGAGGGCCTTAACTTCAGGGCAAGAGAGAGGACTCCATGTAAAAGTCATATTCTTCAACCCTGTTTTAGTTGGAGACCTTCCATGAGAGCTTGTCAGAGGTTTATCCAAATTAATAAAAAGGAAATTGCCGTGCTAGTTTCCATTCAGCTATCAGTTCTTGGAACCTGCCAGTGTATGTCATTAGTTGGAGCCAGTGATAGACTGGCAAATATTTGAAAACTAGCTCCATGGGCCAGCTCAGCGACACAGCAGTAATATACTGCTTGAATGATGCTGCATTCATGTGGAAGACAATGGTTTTGTTTCCCTTGTTGACCTATATTCACTAGGTACATGTCCCCACGGTCCTGGTGGGCTGAGAAGGGAAGGGGAGGATCTCGAGACCCTGCCAAGGGTGCTTGTCTGTCTCTCCCTCTCTTCTTTCCCTCTTTTTGTCATTCTCATTAAAGAAAAAATAATAAACTTAAAAAATATATATCTCAAGAAAAAATATAATCTGATTTGTAGCACTTGCCAATTTCCATGGTGTAAATACTCTCACATTGTTTAGTTCAAATCTCGCTAGTTCAAGCTACTAGAATTACATCACTGACCATAGAGTTGGAAAGAACTGCATAGAAGCACAAAATTATGCCAGAGAACTTCAAAAGTTCACCAAAAAGCCAGAATTAAAGTACAAGTATATGCTGGTGCAAAAATTTTTAAATCCATTAACAGTTTTTTCGTAATACAGATTTTCCACTAACTTTTGAAGACCACCCCCAGCCATATAGTATTTCCATCATATAGATACAATTTAATACATATAGCTAGGTCTTACCCTATCCCATAGTATATATACATCATAATATTTATATCATATAGATATGCAAGTAATTTCAGAAGAATATGTAACAGCATACTAATCAGAAAGGGGTACGTTTTGAATATCTATTGCTATTGTTTTTAATTATATGTTTATATATTTTGATTGGTAATGATGTCTAGTCTAACAACTAGCTTGCAAAACTCCTGAAAATCTAGCCATCAGCTCTCAGGACTGAGTACAGGTCAACCCCAGCACACCACAGGGAGAGCACAGTAGGGTAACGGTGGCACTTAAAATGCAGACCTAACACCCTATGTAACTCTACACAACGCAGCGGCTATGGTTGTGAGGACCAAGCAGAAAGCTTGAAATAACTTGACTGCCTTGCACAGACTAATCGTAATGTTAATAAAATTCAGTGAAATAGAAAGAGAACAAACCTGGTAGTGGTCCTGCAGCAAAGTGACCCCTTGTATAGCCGACAAAATGAGATGCCTTATCCTGCCTTCCCTGCAGTGCACAGCAGCACACAAAATGTCCTTAGTCAAGGAAGGGTTTTCTGCAGGAGGAAACACAGAAGTAATTAGGAAACAAGCCTTTTCTGAACCAATCACTCACAAAATCATTTTTTAAAGATTCAAGGTGATACAAATTCTTAAAGTTTTCTCAAACCATTAAGATAGAAGATAAAGGGGAGGCTGTTTCATTTGAGTTTCAAGTGTAACTATATAACTTTGTTTTTCCTGGGCCTAACTGATTGTATAGAAATTAACGTCCTTGGAACCACCGAATGGCATAATAGTTATGTTGCTGGACTCTCATGTAGTCAGCTGCAGTTCGAGTCCCTGCTCTGGTGGCTTAAAACTCATGCTGGGTGTGTGTGTGTGTGTGCCCAAAATACTGAGAGAAGAATGGAAAAGGGATTGCAGTGTGGCCATGCCCCCTGGGCAAGAGTGATTTCTCACTTTCTGTCTCTGTCTCTCCAGCAAGCACACATGCCCTATAGAAAAATATCTAAGAAAGAAAGAAAGAAAGAAAGAAAGAAAGAAAGAAAGAGAGAGAGAAAGTGCAAACTCTAAAAAAATTAGTAATGTATTCCAGCAGATTAACATATATCATTACCAACTTGGTTTGGCCTATTCATGAATGCAAAAATGGTTCAACATTAGGAATCACATGAATGTAGCTTACTGTTTATAGATAAATGAATTCATTTACTCAGCAAGTATGGTCTGGCATTACCCTAAGTAGTTTTCTTTCTTTATTCATGATAGAGTATGTGCATAGGAGGAAGGGAAGAAAGGGAGGAAAAAGAGAAGGAAGGAAAGAAGAGAGAGAGAGAGAGAGAGAGAGAGAGAGAGAGAGAGAGAGAGAGAGAGAAAGAAAGAAAGAAAGAAAGAAAGAAAGAAAGAAAGAAAGAAAGAAAGAAAGAAAGAAAGAAAGAAAGAAAGAAAGAAAAAGAAATTAATCTCCTTTCTCTACTTTCACATACTGCACCACCAGTAGGCAGGGTACCCATCAGCCCAGTTTGCCCAGGACAGTCTGAGTATTCCCTTATTGTCCTAGAGTAACTATTAACCATGTCCTCTTTTAGGCACATGTCCCAAAAGTGCCCAGTTGGAAGGATAAATTATATATATAACCTATTTGTGAGCCTCTCCATCCTCCGTGACTCCCAGGTGACATCCTAGACGTCTTCCATGGCTCTCCTTAGCCTTAGCCCTCACAGCCAACCAACGCTCCATCCTCCCAACTCCACCTCCCAGTAATTCTAGCTTCTGCCCTTTGTCCAGCACCCCACCAGGCCATGCCCAGGATACTGCAGGCTCCTCACAGACCCCACCCCCATCTTACCCCTCGAAGCTACTTTCTATTCTGAGCCCCAGGACTTCTCCCCAAAGGAGATTATCAGCTATAGGAATCTGCACAAAGGATCCACGTTGCATCCCAAACCTTCCTGCAGCTTCCAGCACCTCCACCTTCCTGTCCCTGCCATCTGTCACGGTTGTCTGTACCTCTGCAAGACACCTGTTTCCTCCTGAGCCCATCTACTTCTCAGAATTCTACCATCGGACCCCTCTCTCTCTGGTTGTGTAGATCCACGTGAGTGCACCTCTCTGCTTGACCTTCCATTGCATGACAGACCTGTTAGCACAAGCCCCCAGCAGTGGAATCTTCCCACCCTGCTCTCTGTCACTGATTGCACCAAGCACAAGGCCTATCCATTCTAGATGCTTGGTCAGTGCAGAAAATAAGAAGCATTTTATGAGGAACAAAAGCTTTTTTTTTTCAGTTAGAAAAATAAAAATGCAATCTTGACTCTGAAATAATTATTTCTAGAAGACAGTTTTCAGAAGTTTTGAGTAGTACTAACTGAAAAAAGTCTGCCTAGAAAGCCTACATACAGTATGATTCCAACTGTATGACATTCTGGAAAAGGCAAAACTTTGGAGACAGTAAAAAGATCAGTGGTTGCCAGGAACTAGGGTTGAACAGATAGAGCACAGGGAATTTTTAGGGAAACAAAACTCCCTGATACTACAATGGTGGATACACACAAATGGACATTTGTCCAAACCCATAGAATGTTTAACACCAAGCATAGACGTTAACATAAAGTACAGACTTTGGATAATCGCGATGTGTCAACAAGGTTCACAAACTACAGCAAATGCACCAGTTTGGTGGGATTTGGTAGAGGGAGAAGCTGTACATGAGTGGAGTCAGAGGGCATGTGGGAAAAATCTTTGCACCTTCTTCACAATTTTCCTATGAATCTCAAACTACTCTGAAAAATAAAGTTTATTCATTTACAAAAAGTTTATTTTGGCTCAGCCTGGTGGCACTGTCCATAGCAAGTTGGCGCATAGGTTCACCCAGCTGGAAGTGGAAACCCTGTGTGCTCAAGGTTCTGCTGAGTCTGTGGTGTAACAAGATCCTGTCAAGGGGACTTCTTTCTCATACATGTACTCTCTATCATTAAAAAAATAAATAAAAAACAGTTTTGAACCATATACAATGAAGAGTAGATACCCTATACCCAAAGTCATGCTTTCTAGAATCATCCCATTTTGATACCTTGTTTGTTTTTCTTTTTTTATTAATCTTATTTCACTGAATTTGAAGATAGGCCCATTATTGTAGAAAAAGCAAGTCTTAAATAATCTCTTGAGCATGAGGCATGGTACAACAGTAACAGAACTGCATCCACCTAGGAGAGGTCCTGGGTTCACTTCCAGTGACCTCTCTGTACACACTGGGCACAGGGATGACCATGATCCAGACCACCTGAGACAGATCATGGCATAAAGACCCTGTTGGGGCTACCTGTATCTCCCTCTTTCTCTCTCATAGAAAGAAACTGTTTTTGAAAATGTATGGCCCAGCCACAGTGGCATGAGTGGGAGGATTTTACTGTACAATGGCAGAGGCCCCATGAAGGGAGGTCTGGGTTTAGTTCCCAGTCTAACACAAACAGGTCCAGGAAGGCCTGTGCTTATGGAGGCAGCTAACTGGGAGGCTGGGAAAGAGGAATACAACGTGGCAACATGGCAAGGCCCTATCAAAAATCTCTCTCTGCCAACTCTCTCTGCCATTTTTCCTTCTCTCACTCTTCCGAAGCCCCTTTATTATTTTTCAAAATGTACAATGGAGTAAGAAAAGTGTTGTTGAACATCACAGTATTAATCTTTGAGCATGAGCAGACCCTCTGCTCTGAGGAAGACAACATGTTTAGAAACCATTCCATTCAAACCCAGAAGAGTGGAGAGTACACCATGAGAAGGCCAACTTAATGTTGGTACTGGGCATGTCATGGATGTGTCCGTCCTGGGCGTCCTCCATGCACCATAAACACATAGACTAGATGGTGACCAATCCCCATCTGCAAGGTTAGATCGGAGAGGGTAAAGCTATGGGAATAACTATGGGCTGCAGGTCACCTGGCCTCTGTCAGCCCTGGATCTGATATCATCTGCAACCTGCCCTTAAAGCAACCCCTCCAGGACATCCAGCAACTCTTAGCACCAGCAAGAGCCCATCTTAAGCCTCCTACCCTTCCACTTTCTCAGTCCCCCCTTCCCCCACCTCATATTGCTTCTTCGATGCCTGACTCCTGCCTTCCTACCTGCTGTGGTTATTCTTTTTGGCTTCGGCGACACATTCAGACATCTGTCCTGGCTCTCCAGATATGTCAGCTCTCTCCAGACCCCTCCATTCTGCTCCCTCCTGCCTGACTGAATGCCCCCAAGTCTCTTTCTCTTAAGAGGGGCTCTAATTTCTTCACTCTAAAACCTTGAACAACTTGCTCACACTCTATACCACAGTTTGCTAATTTGTGAAGTTTTAAGATTCAAGCAGATGCCCACTGAAGCTTCTTCTGGTTCTACGGGCCTATTAGGCTCTTGGGAAATTGTTGGCATATTTAAAGTATCAAACCAGAAGGAGAAAAGCAATAACTTCCTTCATGGAAATACCAAACTCACCTCTATGGTTAGGAAAAAATAACTTTGTTTTCACCAATCATAACAGCCCTCACTGCTAACTCCCTTGTGTTTTAGGAAAGAGCTGTTTGCCCCTTTTGGTCCATTCTATCTTTTTTTTTTTTTTAAAGAGCTTTTTTTTTTGCTATAGGGCATATATGCTCACCAGAGAAAGAGAAAATAAGAATAACCCCCTAGGAGGAATGGCCATGCTGCAATCCCTTCCCTTCCATTCTCCTCTCAGGATTTTGGGGATATACACACATGCACCCAGCATGAGTTTTAAGCCTCAGTCTGGGACTCAAACTGTGGTCGACTACATGGGAGTCCAGCAACATAATTATTATTCCATCTGCTGGTCCTGGTCCATTCTATTCTGAATTTTAACTGAAAGACCCTAGAACCTTTTCTGGATCTGTCACTGTCCTTCTATTCTACAGAATGGAGTGACAGGTTAATAAGGAAAGTGGTGTAGCAGTTTAAATGTTAGTCACGCTTAAATTTCCTTGAGATAAAACATAAAAACTAAAAAATTTCTGTTACTAATGTAATTTCAAGTATGCTGTATTAATTTAGCAGCTGCAAAACAGAATGGCAAAATAAATATGAATTTAGGTACTAATGAATGTTTAACTCATTAAAAGCTATTACATTAGCTGACTGACATGTCAAAATAATTATGTCTTCAAACATGCCTGAATTCAATATGCTGGATAGGTATTCGAAAACCAGAAAGGCATTGATTTAAATTTCACTGCAGCACACTTCCACAGGCTGTAGTTATTTATTGACCTTCCCAATGGGTTCTTTGATCTGTAATATTTTATTTTTTATACTATCCCTGATATCTTTGAGTTGGAAATAGAGATTTTTCTGAAAACTAAATAAATAAATAAATAAAAACATATACAAGTCCCCCCTCATGTGACCACTGGAATTGTATTCATACATGGAATGTCTCACTTCTTCCTTTGTAAGAGCCCATTCTGATTCTGCGCCTGGGGAGCAATAGGTCTTACCTAGAAGCAATGGTGTAATTAGGCGGTCTACTGTGTTACACACCATAGGCCAAGGCCCAGCACCTGGGCCTGGCCCCGTGGTAGGTGGTGTGGATTAACACAGACAGCAAAAAGTTCTCTGTCTCATGCCAGCACTCACTCGCTGATCCATGCAACCTTTCTAAGATTTTCCCAGATCCTGGGTGGACATAGTAGTGAACATGATCACTCAAATGTCACCTGAAATGCCCCCACTCAGTGATGCCTCCCACAAAGCCTCCTGTTTCCCCACTGCTCACTCTCACCACATGACCCTGGGTTAGTTTCTTCCTAGTGCAGTGGTAATGCGACATTCTGCAATGCTGAACCCACACAGGAAGGTCCCAGGTTCACATCCCATGGTCTCCCTGTACCTACCAAACTTAGGACTCTGGCTGGCTGAGTTTGGGGGTAGATCAAAGCATAAAAACCATATTAGGAGTGCTCCCTCTCTCTCATGAAGTACATAAATAAATAAGCTTTATTTAAAAAAAAAAAAAAGGTTGACTCTACATGGGGAAAAATATAAGAAATAAGAGAATGAAATATTATATTTGATAGAAATTGCCTCAAGGGGGACCAGCAGTTAGCATAATGGCTATGTCGCTGAACTCTCATGTAGCCGACCGCGGTTTGAGTCCCAGACCCGGTGGCTTAAACTCATGCCGGGCACGTGTGCGTGTGTGCCCAAGATCCTGAGAGGAGAATGGAGGAGAAGGGGTTGTGGCGTGGCCATCCCTCCTGGGGGGTGATTTCTCGCTTTCTGTCTCTCTGTCCCTCTCTGTCTTTCTGGTGAGCACACGTGCCCTATAGCAAAAATCTCTCAAAAAAAAAAAAATTGCCTCAAGGTCCTTGCCAGCAAAGAGGATGGGGCAGTTCTCAGACAAGATGCCACCTCCCTACTAAAGGCCATGGAGCCCAGCTAAGGTCAAGGAGACAGTGGAAACACATCTCAACAGCAAGGTCAGAGATCAGAAAGCCTGGTACACGGGTAGGAGGAAACGGTTTAATTTTACTGAGCAGAGGGACCAGCAGTTGGTGTAACAGCTATGTCACTGGACTCTCATGCAGCCGACCATGGTTCGAGTCCTGGACCCAGTGGCTTAAACTCACACCAGGCACAAGTGTATGCATGCCCAAGATCCCAAGAGGAGAATGGAGGAGAAGGGATTGCAGCATGCCCATCCCCCTGGGGGGTGATTTCTCGCTTTCTGTCTCTCTGTCTCTCTCAATCTTTCTGGCGAGCACATGCCCCCTATAGCAAAAACCTCTTTTAAAAAAAAAAAAAAAAAAAACTTGGCTGAGCAGAGATTCCCAGTGGTGGGAATGAAGTTGGAAAGGGTGGGCCAGATTCCCCAGGGCCTGGAAGCCAGGCTAAGGTTCTGCTTTGTTCTGAAAGAAACTCAGGCACTCTCTTCATCTCTCTGCAGCCAAACTCTGAAAATTGGCGTAGGACGATTATGTAGTTTTACATAGCAGCCCACCTGCAAAAATGATGAGTACATGCAAAAACACCATCCTCACTTTCTGCAACATCTCCATGGTTCCAGAGGGCTTCCCAGGCTGCTGGAAAACTTGACATATTCCAGTAACACTTAGGAGAAAAAAAAAAAACAGACAATGGTATTAAAGAGTGAAAATCCACAACTCAGTGCATCTCTACTGTGTAGAGATCATGTCATAACACATATGTAGGTAGTATCCTCCCTGCTCAACTATGTTTTTAGGAACACGAGAACACAGATAGCATAGGCTAGGCCTCTGAAAAACTTTGGACTCTTTTACTTAAGTTCAAAGCATGGTTTTGTTGCAAGTAAAGCTGGCATTTGTTTTTTCTTGGTCCATTATCTTGATTTGCAAAGGCTAATGATTAGAATCAAGATATGATAGTCCATAGAGCTAAGATGTAAAGTCTCTGTTGAGAACTGAAAAAATTTGAGATAAGGCTGAGGTTGGTGGAGAATGACAGGATCACATCTAGTTCAGAAGAAAATGCAGAGTAGAGCCCTAATATCAACAGTTCAGTTTGGCATCAAAGCCAATGGATGAGGCAGAAACTTCAGAGAGCCAGCATTCAAATTTTGAGGTAGTGATGGCTCTTTGTGCCCATGGGCACCTGTTCTCATGACTAAGGACATCTTACCAAGGTATAAAAGAAAATCACTGGGTTCCAGGTCCTGCTCTGTAGCAACAGAACAGAAAATCATTTAGATTATCCATCTAATGAATGAGGGGCACGTGGGATTAAGAGAAAGGCAGGGGCAGGCAAGGATCATGGACCATCCAGATAGTATTATTACACTCAGAGAGGGCAGAGAGGGCAGGTGCAGCATCCCTGGATTCCGTACACCCTCCCACCTGGGCAGTGGTCTACTGTTAGAGCAAGAGGATCAGATTTCCACTGAAACCTTCCACTTCCAGGGAGGGGAGGGCCTGCAGGTGGATCCACCAGGTGGAGTTGGATTGAACTAACAAGGGGAGGAGCCACCCACTGCCTGCACCTCTCTGTGGTTAGCTACAACAGAAGCACAGCTTTCTGTGTGAAGTGAGTGGCTTCATACTCCTCCTACCTATCAAATGGGAGGACTCTTGGCTACCAGAGTATGCAAAAGAAAAATTGTTTTTTTTTTGTCTAGCCTTGGGACAAGTGAATAAAGCAAGGCATTTTTATATTTGAAAATAATTTACTTTTGAAAAATTTTTCATAGATTCAAATCATATCAAGCCAAATAATAGAGTAAATAGTGAAAAGAAAGGACTGAATTGAAATCATTCATGCTGAAGCTGACTTCAGAGTGTAATGGAAGTTAAGTCGAGAAGGACCACTTACACTGGTTCAATGTAATTCTTCTGTGTTTTTATTTTATAGTGACTGCAGGAGGGAAAAAAAATGAAGTGAATTATTCTTTTATTACTTTTGATTTGTCAGTGAGACTCTTTGCCAGTATTCAGTCAATATAAATAATCCCCTCAAGTATTTCTCAAAACACATAATGGTTTGAAGCTATAAAGAAAATCAGTGATCTCTTTATTGGTCCTCACTTCTTTTTCTGATGTGACATTCTTTCCAGTAGTTGTGTTAATAAAAATCTCAAAAACTGGCTGGAAAAAAGCTCTCATAGAATTTACCCACTGAGTGTCATTTAGGAGGAACTCTTTTCCTATGAGAGCTATTCTCTTAATACGTTATTTCAAGCTGTTGATGAGTTATACTCTGACCAAAAGATGAGTCAAAAAAATAATACTAAATCTTTACTCAAATCACCTCCATAGTCACTTTTAATTCCACTAAAGTTCCCTGCAACCATTCTGGAGGTTTCCAAATGGTCATTGGGAGGCTGAGCAAATGTCAGCAGTAGGTTAAAAACATCCCAATCATCCTTTCTTAAACTCTTCCAGAGAACTTCTAATGTGAGCTCAGTCACCTCTTTAAGTAAGTCCCTACTTCTGTGCTATTCTGCATTAACATTTTAGAAAAAAAAATGATCACTTTACTAATTCTTTCACATTTTCCACTTGAGAGCAACTTTGAATGGAAATTGGATGAAGATGCAAGAAGTCCATTTGGTTGGTGATGTTATTTATAGGAACCAAGCAATTCAGAATTTATTCCCATACATTGACAGAATCCATAGAGAGTAGTTGAGGCCCATTAATAGATGCTATCACAAGACATTCTGCATCTCCCAAAGTGATACTCATACAAGTTTAAAATTCACCAATTTCTTCCAAAATATCAGAAAAGTTCTTGAATTGGTTCAAATATGAAAATATACTTAATGATACATTTAAAATATCAGAAGGTTGTGAAATATTAGGTTTGGCCCCAGTCATCCTTAGGGTCAAGTCAAGAAATGGTATCAATAGACCATATATATTTTTAAATGTGAAATAATCTAAATTTTTTTGAAGTAGCTATTTCCTTCACAAGATGTTGAATATTTTGTCACATAATGGAAAAGAGAATTTCAAAGAATTTCAGAGTGCCCATGACACTGAAGATAGCATGAGTTTTAAAAATCACAGCCATCTTCCCCAACACTTTCTTGGCTAGCTGAGTAAGTTTCATGGTGGAGCACACTGATGTGACAATTTCTCTCAGTTACGCACTGTCATTTAACAGCATGGTCTGAATCTTAGACATTTCTAACAGGGATTCCAGGACACGACTTTCTTTGTCAGATCTCTTAGTTAATTTCTAACGTTGCTCTGCTCCTTGGAAGTAAAAAAAAAAAAAATTATTAATAAAGAAAAGCAAATCAGTGAGGCTAGCAAGTAGAATTTCTTGGAGTGTAGAATGCAAACTGCAAAGTTCTGATTAGAAGAGTTTATAAGAGTATCCATGAGACTTGCTACCTCCGTAGAACTTTTTCTCAAAATGCAAAGAACTGACCTAAGATCCTGATTGAGTTTAAAGAACTCAGAACTACTGAAACAGAAAAGCAGCTGACTCACCACTGTAAGAAAAGTTCAAATTACTTTCAGTTTCATTTTTCATTGACGTTTCCCTTAAAAGGGTATTAAATAAACGTCACATAAACTCTAGTCCTTGGTGACTATCAAAATAAAATTATCCACTGTCTAATATAAATAAGTCTTTGATTAGATATATATGTATGTGGTCTCCTTTAAACTTGAGAAAATGCTCATCAATCTGTCTTCTTTCATCAAGGTAAGAAACTGATCCAATTTCAGAATTTCTAGAATTTTATCCTTTGGGACAAAACCATAATATATATGTATTGGATTGTTGAAAAAGTCATGCATGACAAATTTTTGCATAGAAAAACAAAAAAAAATGTCATGACTTTTCTAACAACCCAATATTTTAATCTCATGCTTAATATTTTAGTGAGAGAAAGTTTAAAATATAGAGATTTTTATGATTTAATATGTATATAACAGCAAGATAGCAGAGTAATACTGTGTAAAAGATGATGAGCTAAAATAATTCCAGATGAAACAATATTCTACTGTCAAACAATAAGAAGAGTGATTACTCAAACCTAACAACTTTAAAAGTCACATACTCCTGATTTTGGAAATGGTGAGGCCCAATTTGTGGTGCACGCTGATAAGATGCCATGCTGCACAGGCTGGGACCACATGGGAGGCCCATGTTCCATTCCTACCTAGCCCAGCCCAAAGACCAAGTGCAGCAGTGAGCTCCTGTAATCCTAGCATATCAGGAGGCTGAGGCAGGAGGATGACTGCACTGAGTAGCAGTCAGACCCTGTCTGACAAGGACTAGGCATGGTAGCTACACCTGTGGTCCTAGCTGGGAGGCTTAGGAGGATAGCAACATGGGGAAGCTCTGTCTGGAAAAAAAAAAATGAAAGAAAGAAAGAAAAAGAAAAAAGAAAAGAAAGAAAGAGAGAGAGAGGAAAGAAGGAAGGAAGGAAGGAAGGAAGGAAGGAAGGAAGGAAGGAAGGAAGGAAGGAAGGAAGGAAGGAAGGAAGGAAGGAAGGAAGGAAGGAAGGAAGGAAAGAAGGATGGAAGGAAGGAAGGAAGGAAGGAAGGGGAAAGAAAAGGAAAGAAGCTGAAATAACTGCAGAGATTCATGATGTAAGTGCCTCTGAAAATGTGGTAAACATGTTTGTATTTTTTTGAATTTTAAAACTACTGCAAGCTCTCTCTGTCCATGGTTTTCACACCCACAGATTCAGCCAAACTAAGATGCAACCAGGCCACACCAATTGTTTTAAAATGGGGAAAGAGATAGCTCTCTGAAAGAAAGATGCTGAAGAATTTTATCTATTTCGCTTTACACTGTGTCTGGTGCGTAGCTTACTCGTAAGTAGTTTTGACCTGATTCAATGTTTGTGAGAAGATGTCTGTAGATTATGTTCAAATACTATGCCATTTTATGTGTGGAACCTGGACATTCGTGGGTGTTGGTATCTATGAGGGTCCTGAAATCAACCTCCCACAGTTACCAAGGGTTGACTACATGCTAGTAAATCTCTTAGACACTGATATGGCTTTGTAATATGTCAGTTTGGCAGGGCTGAACAAGAGTCCCAGAGTGCCTTTTCTAGTATGTTTCTGGCCTAGGAGGGCTAGAAATTCCATGTAAAATAGGATGCTATATTTATTTTTATAATTTAAAAATGTAAAAGGAACAAGATGGAGTTAATTGTTATGGGCTAGGTATATGCTTACTACTGGATGATAGTCATCAGAATTATTTTACCTTGATATTTTGATAAAATGTTTATTGAAGCAAATTTGTTTCAAAGATCATTCAAAGACTTTAGATACAAGTGCTGTTACTGACATTTCTACACTGGAGACAACAAAGTGATTTGGGATTACATCACAACTACATGCACCATGCAAAGCAAAAGCAGACTCACCTCATCTCTGCAATAACATCTTTGTGGAAGTCTTTTAGCAGAAGAGATACTTTGGTCTCAGAATTTTCCTTTAGTAAAAAGGAGAAGAATGTTTTCAAAAACTGTTCCATAACACCCGCTAGGCTTCTTGGAGAGAGAATTGTTTTCCCACCATTTTCTGACTGTGTGTAGTTCAAGATGAGGTTAATGAAATTCATTACTTGAAGGTCGATATCACTTAAATTTGGAACTGCTTCTTGAAAACTCCCAGCTAAGTTATTGATTGAGTTAATTAGGATGTTTTCGAAAAGCCACTGAATAACTGAGAAATTAGTTAGCTGTCCTGGATTTAGCAGATGAGTAAGAAAAGCAACATCAAGTTCACCTTCTCTGGAAATGTTTTTCAGATAGCCCAAAACTGTTGTGACATCTTTAATCAACAAGGTGAGATCATCCATTGAACTATCATTGGCCATAAGAACAAATAGTGTTTGTATCATCCTGGAGTACTCTTCATCGGCATATTCATGAAGCCACCTTCTGATGACTAATAGAAAATCTTCATTGTTTTCTGATGTCGTCAATGATGATGAATTCAGGATTTCCAGAAAATGGCCAAGTTGCACAGTCATGTTTTGAAGAACCACTGAATTTGCACTTTGGATTTCCTTGTTAATTTCAGAGACTGGGTATCTGATACTAAGGTCATGTGTTAGGTTGTTCATGGTCTGTTCAAAATCAAGCCATAGTTCTTCAAAGCTGTGAGTCTTTTCACTTTTTTTAATAATTCTTGATAATGCTTCTAAACTATTTCCTGTAACTTTTGCATCCAGAAGCATCATGAATGGAGAGAATAGATAATAAGTAGCATTCTCTAGGTCCCAGTCCTCAGAAATAGACTTTATTATCTTTCCCAAATCTAAGGAAATATTCTTTTGAAAATATGTTTCTGTATCTTTACTAATGTTAAGGATCTGATTTAAAAATGTTAGCTTGTTAAGGATGTTTTCACCTAATGTAACTTTTGTAAAGTTGACATGTTTTAGCTTTTCTATGATTTTCAAAGCAAATTGCTTTATGGGACCACCAGGACAAAGTGCAGAGATACTGTTTTTTCTTTGATTTCCAGAAGATGGGACAAATGGTAACACTTTATGCCAAAATTCTTGCACAGCTTCCACAAGTGAAGTTTTAATATGGAAGACTTCAAACAGCTTTAGAAGAATAGAATTCCAGTCTGCTAACTCATGAATTGCACAGACAACTTTGTTGGTTATTTCCACCTGTGTGCTTTCGTCTGAACATTGTGAACCATCACCTTGCACAGATAAGTGGAGATGGTCAAGTATACTGGCCACTTTGCTATAAAAAGAAGAAGATAAAGACCCGTGGACATTGCAGGCTTCTAACTTTGGATTCTGCTGAAATCCAGAAGTTGTATGATTTCTGCACCAAAGCACAGCAAGGCATGTTAAAACCTCTGAAACAGTATCTGGTTTATCTGATATTAATTCAATTGTATCCAGAAGAGTCTTTATCATAATAGCAAAGTCTTCCTTGGTATTGTTTGAAATGCTTATCCCATGAAGGAGTGTGAAGTTGTAGATGTCCTTAAGGGCCTCTGTGATGTTTTTATCAATTACCCTCTGCAGGAGCCGCACAGCATGAGGAAGCACGTAGTACACATCAACCACAGAATCCACGTCGCCTTTAGGAAGCAGGCGTGACAGCTGTAACAGATGATTAACGTTCCAGGAGTGTGAGCTGGTGACAAATCTTTCCATCAAGCCAACAATCAAGTTGATCCCTAAATCGCCAGTATCTAATCTGCTGATATTCTTAAAGAAATCCATTAGGCTTTCACTAATTTGTTGAAGCTGATCTACTATAAGGTCTATGTCAGCCTTCTTGAGACTACGCATGAGAGAAGTTACTCTCTTTAGAACTTGAATGTGACTTGTATTTTGTGGAATATTATGAAGAACTGTGGGCATTAAGGAGTTGAACACATCCCTCATCAGTTGAACACCAAGATCCACAGCTTTCATTATTTCAGTTGGAACTACTCTAGATAAATTTTGGAGATTATGAGAGATATTGAGGGCAAGGTAACTAGCTAAATGATAAATTGAATTGCCTAAACTGTTTATGTCCTTTTCCTTTGGACTGGTGGCAAATAGACTAAAAATCTTTTCCATTTTGAAAGAGGAATACTTCTCCAGGATGTGTGGGGAAATATCTTTCACGAGGTTCTGGATTTCTTTTCCTAGTGTGATTAAATGTAGCCAAATATTTTGAAACTGGTAAGGAATCTCATCTGACACTTCCATGGGTCTCAAAATTAATTCAGTAAAATGTTTCCAGTTGTATTGAGATGCATAATCAAAGTCTCTTGTTAAGTTGCTGATAATCATCCTTATTTGGTTTGTAGAATCATTTAAAAGAGCTAATAAAATCTCAAATATTGGTACCTTCTCTTTTTCAAAGGTTGTAGTAAGTATAATATTTAGAAAGTCAGTTATATTTTTCAAATAAATATTTACACAATCTGTATTTGACTCATTTAATGAACAAATAGGTTGCTTTGTATTTAACACCCAAGTTACAATTTTCAATACAGAGTTCATTTTATTTTCCACGTCTTTGTAACTCCTCAAAATGTTGTGAGGATGGCTTTGTGCAAAACTTGAGTTATACATCACATACAGACGGTTGATGACATTTAGACATGCAATGCATCCGTTCAGTCTGCTAATTGTGTTCTCAGAGGAAATTGTGGAATTTAACATGGTGAGAATATGAAATATCCTCTGTGAAGTATTTACAAATAATAAGTCATCTTCTAAAATAAGTTTAGTAACATTTCGGAAAACGGCAGCGCAGGACAATAAATCTCGGTCACGTGACACATTTCTAAGAAATAATATTGTTTCTCTCAGCTCAGCGACGCTACTTTCAAGTTTTGCTCCATGATTTGTGGTATTAGTTGAAAGAAAGTAGTTTATCAAATTTACACTTTTATCTATATACTTTGAGGTATTGCTATTTTCAAAGAATACTCCAAGCAGAAAATATAAAAACTCTCTACTTTTGCTTGTGTTCAATGGAAATGTCTTGAGCTGATGAAAGGCAGTGTCCATGGTGAAAAGAGATTTCTCTACTTGGTCCAGGTTCTGTGATTTTACTGTAACTAATACATTGCCCAATGCAACCAACAGATCCCTGAGAGCGAGGAGATCATCCCAATTATGGATATCATCAATGTGAGTTACGTTTTTAAACAAATTTAATATCAGCCTAGCAGTGCGATGGGTAGGGAACAGTCCTTGGCAGCTTTTAGACATTGCTACATCCTTTTCCAATTCATCAGAAAGTTGAGTCAGACCAATGTGAAGAGAAGTGAAAATATTCCTGTCAAACTTAAATAGGTGAGATATGCTTCCCCAGATTTCAGTCCACATTTGAAGCCATGAAATGGTACAGTGAACAGCCATAAGCTGGTTGAACGCACTGACATTTGCAGAGAAGTTTGAAAAGATTGGTGCCCATGGAAGAATAAGTGAAGACCTCTCATTTGTTGAATAATTCACAGAAGAAATGTGTTTATCATTCAAAACAAAGCATTCACTATCCAGTAGGGCTTCTACTGAACCATTGATGAATTGACTCATATACTGAAATAAAGAAATGCGAAAATCTTCATCCAGTATGAAGAGCTGCTTAAGGCCTGTCAGTGTAGCATGAATCACTTCTGATTCTTGGTCTTCTGTAGACATCAGGGATTGGGCTTGGAGCTCCAAAAAGTTAAAAATTAAGAGCAATTTTTCACAATAAGTTGCTTCAGAAGTTCCCACAATAATTCCCGCTATCTCTGATAAAAATGCAAATGCTTCCCTGACATTTTGGAAATTAAATTGCTTTATGATATCCAAAATACATTTTGAGATTTGTGTCAGAAAAGTGAGCAGAGACTCTCTACTCTGAATGCTGAAGAACTTGTAAATATTTTGGTAAAGTGAAGAATATATTTGCAGAAGTAAAGCTGAATCCTTACTGTTGAAGACATTTAGGTATATGTCAGATAAAATGGCATAAAGCTCTTGCTTTTGAGGTTCAGATAGGGCTGAGAAGAGACCAGATGCATTTCTTACGGCAGAAACTGTTTCCAGAGCTTCTGAGACTTGTTCTTGCCTCAGAAATCCAAATTGATGAAGACTATCAATTACGGTTTCACTCAAATGTACAAAATCCATATTTATAGCTGGTGATTTATGCCCTTCTGAATGGAACAACCAGGAAAAGTTAAATCCTTTATGAAGGATCTTCTCATTTTCTGGAAAAGAAACATTTAAAACTGTAGACAAGTTTTCCAACTTAGCTCTGTCTTCTTCTGAAAAGCCATAGAGCCATAATTCTAGTAGTTTGGGATTAACTTCAGAAAACAGTAATTCCATGAATTTCAAAATATTTCTGGATTCCTTCCTCATCCAGCGACTTTTAAGTGTCTTTATTTTTTCAATCATCTCTTGGCCAGTTTTCAAAAGTTTCTGAGAATCAGTAGCAGATAGGTCTCCCTCTAAACTCTTTAAATGATTTACCCATAAAATACTTGTATTCAGAATATTCTCTTTAAGAGTTGGGAGGTGATGGAATTCGGTGCTACCGGGTGATGCAAAAAGAGTAGGCAATAATAATTTCTCCAAAAATGTCACAAATGATAAAAGAAGATGTGTTTGTTCAGCCTCAAGGTTATTCAACTTCTTTTCCATCACTAGAAGGCGCTTTATGAAGTTTAAGGCCCTACGATATCAACATAATTGTTTTAGTATCAGAAAGAAAAATAAATAAATCAATTTACCAAACTTGCAAGGTAATACCCATTTACTTATAGTAAAAGATACACGAAACCCTTACTACACAATATACTTCTCCATGAAAATTAAACTAACACAACCATTTTAGAAATCCACAATTCAGTCATAAATACTCAGCTTAAAATGTATTTTCCACAATCACAAGAATGTATTTCACATTATTTTCCCCTGTGACTTCTTTTGTATAATTGTTAAAGATGATTTTGCTATTTATACCAGAAGAATCCTAGGATTCAATTCCACATCAAGTCTCAAAATGTCTTGGGATGTAGAAATAGTCCAAATCACTATTTGAATGAATCAGAAATTGATACCTTTATGATTTTATGACTTAAGAAAAGTTGATGGAATTCCCTATCCCAGAATGCAATTCCAGTGCTCTTTCAAAAATGCTATTCACCTCACTATTTGAAACTCATTATTTTAGGTGGAGTGCCTTCTCCTCAATGTTTACCTATTTACTTTTTAATTACCAGAGAGCACACGCACTCTCCAGAGAAAGAGAGACCCCCTCCAATGGGGTGTGGTCACTCCATTTCTTCATCCTGTCAGGATTTCAAGCATGCATACAAACATACCAGGAGTACTTTTCCAAGTTGCCAGGGATGGTATTCAAACAGTAGTTGGCCATGTGGGATCTGGCTTCCCACACACAGCACTTCACCACTGCACTACAGGGTCGACCATAAGTCCAATCTTGTATAGAATCTACTCTTAAAGAACTAGTTTTACTAACTCAGAATTTACAGGTCCACTCTCAAAGTCTTTAGGGCTCTAAATATTTTGCAATTTAGAATGTTCAGACTTTAGAAAGATAGCAAGGTAATGGTACAGATATCAGATGCATACTACCACCTCCACCTCAAAATGAGACTGGCACAACCCCAGTCACTCAGATATTAACACAATTTCAAACCAAATTTCTATTGAGTGAGTCATGATACCAACTATAAGGAATGCTTCTATTTCAGACTTTAAGAGTTCAGAATTACGGGACCAGCAGGTGGCATGGTGGTTAAGGCACTGGGTCCCACAGGACCAACTTTGTATTTCAAGTTCAGTCCAGGATCCAGTTCCTGAAAAACATGCTGGGTATGCATGTGTATGTGCCCAAAATACCAAGAGGAGAATGAAGGAGAAAGGACTGTGGTGTGGCCTCAGGGGAGGAATGATGTTTTACTTTCTCCCTCCCTCTCTCTCTCTTCTCTCTCTCTGAAAAAAAAAGTTCAGAATTGTAGAAAACAGATTTTGACCTCTGTAGGCTATTAATGAATTAAAGTATTACTTACTTTGGGACCAGCAGTTAGCGTAATGGCTATGTCGCTGGACTCCCATGTAGTCAAGCATGGTTTGAGTCCCAGACTCGGTGGCTTAAAACTCATGCCAGATGCGCGTGCATGTGTGCCCAAGATCCTGAGAGGAGAATGGAGGAGAAGAGATTGCAGCATGGCCATCTTCCCGGGGGGGGGAGGGGGGTGATTCCTTGCTTTCTGTCTCTCTCTGTCTTTCTGGCGAGCACACGTGCCCTATAGCAAAAGCCTCTCCAAAAAAATAAGTAAATAAATAAAGTATTATTTACTTGAAACTTTTAATCAAACACAAAAAATGTTCTTTTCCTCTCTGACAATTGAGATATGAGCACCAAAAAAATAAATGATAATGCACTAAACTTAGTTCATTCTTACATGTAGGACAAAGAGTGGCTACCTGGAAGCAATTCCTGGGGAAGATATCCATCAGGAAAAAAAATGTGCTCCTGCTAGAATTCAATATAAATCTTGCCTACTTCCAGCCCTGCATGAAAGTAATACACAGCAACTACTATACAAGTGAGTGAGCATGGATAGTGGAGAATACAGAGCTACCCTTATCTGTATTGGGAATTGAAAAAGTTGCGGAGTACAAGCAGTATGAGTAGCAATCCTTGAAGTAGTAGGAGTACTATCAGCAGTAATATTGTCACATTCTTCACATCACTTTAAAGTTTATAAAGCACTGTGACAACCAGTCTTAGTTCATTCCTTCAACTTTTTGAGGTACACATCATTATTTCTATTTCATAGAAAAATTACTCATCAATTTGTGTGTATGTGTCAGAGAGGACATGTGTACACACAAGAGTCAGAGACAGAAGCTCAGCACCCCCAATGAGGGTCTTGACACCACGATCCACCCCCATCTTCATCTAGCTTCAGATCATGGGCACCGGGGCACGTGTGTACCCTGGGTCTTCAGGGAGCTTACCCAACATAAGCTTGTAGCTTTCCTCTGTGGGTCAGCCTTACAGAGTGTTGCATTTTGCCATGGTGCCATGGTCTGGCCCACCACACTATTTTTTAATAAGATTAGCAGATTCACATTATTATTATTATATGTCATAATCAGGACATAGCCCATGTTTTCTCATTTTGTGTTCCTCTTTCTTAATATTAATTGCATTTAATGCCTACTTTTTAAATTCAATAAATCAACTTCATATTATCTAGCTCCCATCATGAAAGAAATGTATGAACTATTACAGGTCTACAAATATAAAATTAAACCTGTTCTTGGAGCACTACCTGGTTGCTGTCTTTCCAGAGCTATTAAATATATGAGGCTTTTGATAAAGTGAGAAAATATAAATCTGACATGAGTAAGAGATTGATTCTACAGAGGATCCATCCAATTGTCCTTTTCCAGTACTTACTAATAGCTGAACTTAAAATTTCCTAAAAGGAACAAATTTCAGATGTAGCAAATGGTCCTTAAACTTTGGTATATATCAGAACCACCTACAGAATTTGTTAAATATACAGAATTCTGGGTCCTACACAAAGGACACAGTATATACAGACCAAGGTGCAGGTCTTTGTGTTTTTAGCAAACTTCCCAGATAAGTCTGATCTGCTCTCAAGTTTGAGAGGTACTGCTCTAATGCAAAGCTCTTATCCCATCACATCTCAACACAACCCACAAATAAGTATGCCTTTAAACTTAAAACGATGACCATAACCATACATGAAAATCTCTATTCCAACGCATGTGCTGAAAGAGGAGAGCAGGAAACAACCTGGCTGATCTAGTTCCAAAGATTATTTCTCCCCTAAAAGTCTCTGGAATCTAAATCCTTGATGTCATCTCTAAACTTGACATGGCTAGATAAGATTATTTTTTCAAAGAAACACATTACTTGAGGGATATTTATAATAAATCATGTTGCCATTGATGGAAAATCTTATTACTAAAATCAGTGTTTCCTTTCAACATTCATTGAGCAGTAGTCTATTAACTTGACACTTGAGTCACTCATCTTATTAATCAAATGTTTATTAACACTTCATATGAAACACTGGGTTAATATCTAAGTCAGGCTCATACATTCTAAAGAATACATACCCTATAATTAGGCTTTTCTTATCTTCAGATGACAGTTAAATCAAGACCTGGAAGTTGAATTCTATTGGCTCACCTGGATATAGAAGCTGTTGGAGATGTGAGTAGGTTATTCAAAAATGCAAAATAATTGTCAATGATGTTGTTCCAATTCATGCTTTCTTCATAACAAGGAGATTCCTCAGAGAAAGCTAAATAGAAAAGAATTTCATATATTTATGTCAAATTGAGAATTAACAGCCTAATCTAGCATAGTGAAAAATGCTATAGTAGTTCACCTAATGGAGTTGAAAATTGAAAGCAGAGGATTGGAACTACCCACAATGGTGCAGCAGTAATGCAACAGTGCAATTCTGAATCGCATGGAACAGTCCCAGGCTCACCCCAAGGCTTCCCTGAGCATTTTAGGCATACATGCATGTGCTTGTGATCCAGGCTGGCAAAGGATGGGGATGAATCATGGCATGAAGACCCTGCTGAGGTGCAATTTCTCTCTCTCTTTCTCACTCATTCTGAATAAATAAGTAAATAAACTTTCAATGGAGGGTTAGCAATCCTTCTAATTTGACTTCTACTTTCAGCCTAGATGAAGTGCCACAAACAATGTGGGAGACTAGCCATCAAACAATGTGGGAGACTAATCCACAAAAAGACAAAAAACAAACAAGATGTGTCCTACAGTTAGCTTCCTGCCTTAAGAGAACCCAACCTGAGACCAGCAGTTGATGTAATGGCTATGTCGCTGGACTACCATGTAGTCGACCATGGTTTGCATATCAGACCCAGTGGCTTAAAAGTCATGATGGGTGTGTTTGCGTGCGTGCCCAAGATCCCGAGAGGAGAATGGAGGAGAAGGATTGCGGTGTGGCCATGCCCCCTAGGGGGTGATTTCTCGCTTTCTGTCTCTCTGTCTGTCTGGCGAGCACACGTGCCCTATATGGCAAAAACTTCTCAAAAAAAAAAAAAGAGAGAGAACCCAGCCTATGGCACAGGAAGGAGAACTCAGTGGACAGGATGAGCTGATAAGATGGAATTAGAGTCAGAAACAGGGCAGAGCTGGTGGTGAGAACAAACTATTATTCCCCCCAGAATTTGACTAAGAATCATCAACGCATGCACCCTGAAACCAAATAATTACCCATTGATGGTATCTGTAGTGATCACACAATACCAGATTAGAACAATTGACAATTTATGAATCATTGAGTAAACTCTACAGAAGGTCTTCAGTAGTAGGGAATATTTACAATCAGAATGAGCACCTCATCATACCTGCCTAAAAAATCATAAAAACAAACACTAAAGGGCCAAATTATTTCAGGTAATTTGTCTCTAGATTATTTGTAGAAATACAAAATTAATCAGCACAAAACAAGGTAGAATTTTGTAATATTTGGCATCTAGTTAATAGTCACAGGCCATGCAAGAAAGGAAGAAAATATGATTCGTCGTGAGGAGAAAAATTAATCAAAAGTGGCAGAGGTGACAAAAGAGCAAAAAAGAACATTGATCACATAGAACAGTGTATATTATTTAGTTTGTTATACTAAATGCTTACACACTCAAAAGGCAAAACATCAGATTGGATATAACAAGATCCAGCTGTGTGATGTATATAAAAAAAAATGCATTTGACAGGACCAGCAGTTGGCGTAATGGCTATGTTGCTGGGCTCCCATATAGTCAAACACGGTTCAAGTCCAGGATCCAGTGGCTTAAACTCATGCCAAGTATGTGTGTGTGCATGCCCAAGATCCCGAGAGGAGAATGGAGGAGAAGGGATTGCGGTGAGGCCATCCCCCTGGGAGGTGATTTCTCACTTCCTGTCTCTCTGTCTTTCTGGCGAGCGCACGCACCCTATAGCAAATATCTCTCAAAAAAATGCATTTGAATTATATAGACATAAATAAATTAAAAGTAAATGGATGGGGTCCAGTTAGTGGCATGGTGGTCAAGGTGCTGGACTCTTATGTGACTGACCATGGTTCGAGTCCCAGACCCAGCAACTTGAAAATCATGCATGGTATGTGTGCCCAAAATCCCAGGAGAGAATGGAAAAGAAGTAATTACAGCATGCCTGCCCCCTTCCTCCTTGCCCCTTCAAGGGGGTGATTTCTCACTTTCCCTCTCTCTGTCTGTCTCAAGTGAGCATACATGGCCTTAGGGCAAAAACTTAAGGATAAAAAAAAGTAAATAGGTAGAAAAGGGATACTACACTAATATTCATCAAAAGATAGTTATTAGGCAAAGTTGATTTCAGATGATGAATGTATTATCATTTTATGATTGTAAAGTCTCAGTTAATCAAAAAAATATAACACTTCTTTTTTTAGAGGTTTTTGTTATGGGGCATGTGTGCTCGCCAGAAAGACAGAGAGAGACAGAGATACAGAAAGCGAGAAATCATCCCCCAGGGGGCATGGCCACACCGCAATTCTTCTCCTCCATTCTCCTCTTGGGATCTTGGGCATGCACACACACATGCCCGGTGTGAGTTTAAGCCACGGGGTCTGGGACTCAAACCATGGTCTACTATGTAGGAGTCCAGCAACATAGCCATTATGCCAACTGCTTGTCTCAATTTAACACTTTTAATGTTATATTTTATGTACATTACACTAACTGCTGGTCCCAATATGACACTTTTAATGTTATATTTTATGTACATTATAACAGATCTTTAAAACACATGAAACAAAAACTAATACAAACATAACAAAATAGACAAATCCACTATTACAGTCAGATTTCAACACACTGCAAGCAAAATATCAGTAATGATACAGAAGATTTGCACAATATTATCAAACCACTTGATCTAATTGATGTTTACAGAACACCACAGCACTCAACAACATAGTTTATGTTTTTCTCAAATACATATAAAATATTTACAAATTTAGATGATATTCTAGTCATAAAACAAGTCTCAAAATATCACCATAAGTTTAAAAATATACAAAGAATATTCACTAACTAAAATGCAATTAAATTATATATCAATAACATAAATATAGTTAGAAACTTCCAAACACTTAAAAATGAAAAAATGAAATGCACTTATAAATAACTCATTTCATAGGTTGAAAGAGGAATTAGAAAGTACTTTGGATTTAATGAAAATAAAAGCACAACATACCAAGATGCCACTAATAAAAGTATTTAGGGAAAAGTTAATACCACTAAACACCTACATTAGAAGAGAAAATGGGGCCCGACCTATGGCATATTGGTTGAGGTGACTGGATCCCACAAGGCTGACAGTACAGTTTGAGTTCTGGAACCAGCTACTTGGAAAACATGCCAGGCACATGTGCATGCATGCCCGAAATCCTGGCAGGAAGGAGAAATAAAGAAGGAATTGCAGTGTAAGCATTCCCCATGGGTGTGGGGAGTGGGAGTTTTCTCATTCTCTGCCTCTTTCTCTAATTCTGTCCAGTGAGCACACACTCCCTTTGGAAAAAAAAAAGAGAGAGAGAGAGAGAGAGAGAGAGAAAGAATGAGAAATTGTCTCAAATTTATGACTTCAGCTTTTATGTTAAAAAAAACTAGAAACAAAGAGACGGTTAAATCCAAAGTAAGCAGGGGAAAAAAGAATAAAAATGAGTGGAAATTAAGTAAATATAAACATTAGAGAAAAATTAATATAATAAAAACAAAGGCGGAACCAGCAGTTAGCGTAATGGTTATGTCGCTGGACTCCATGTCGTCGACCACAGTTCAAGTCCCAGACCCAGTGATTTAAACTCACGCCAGGCGTGTGTGCGTGCGTGCCCAAGATCCCAAGAGGAGAATGGGGGAGAAGGGATTGCAGCATGGCCATTCCCCCTGGGGGGCGATTTCTCGCTTTCTGTCTCTCTGTCTCTGTCTGTCTGTCTGGCAAACACACGTGCCCTATAACGGAAAACCGCTGAAAAAAAAAAAAAAAATATATATATATATAGAGAGAGAGAGAGAGAGACACTAAATTGAGAAATTTAAATAAAAGAGACAAATTCCTTTAAAGACAAAATCTACCAATGCTTACTCAAAAAGAAATAGATCATCTGAGAAGTCCTATGTCTATATAAGAAATTGAATTTGTAATAAAATATCTTCCCATAAAATAAAATAAAATAAAGGCCCAGGTGGCTTCACTCATTAATTCTACCAAATGTTTAAGAAAGAAATAATCTAATTCAATATAAATTCCTTCAGAAAAGTAAAAGAGAGAGAAAACCTCAACTTATTCTGTGAGGTAAGATATCCTGATACCAAAATAAGACAAAGGCATTTTCAAAAAAGAGAACCATAGACCAATATCCCTCATAAGAAAGCAAATACAAACTGTTAAACAAAATTTTAGCAAATTGAATCCCATAATACATTAGTTATGCAAGATGGATTTAACATTTGAAAACAGTCAATGTAATTTACCATGGGAACAACATGATTAAATACAAAATCATTTAAATAAATGCAGAGAAACATTTGGCAGAAATCTAAGGTCAGCTCCTGACAAAAGACCTTGGAAAACTAGGAATAAAAGAAAATTTCTTCGACTTAATAAAAATTGTCTATGAGAAACCTGTAGCGGATGTTATGCTCAGTAGTAAAAAATTAAATCACCACCCTCCCAAATCAAGGAGAAGACCAGGATGTTCTCAAATACTGTTTCTATCCAGTATTGTATGGGAGGTTATAGCCAATAAGAAAGGAAATTAACAAAATTAAAATTCTTTAAAAAAAATACAGGAACTATCAAGCCATCTTTATTCACACATGACAATCCACAAATAATAACAATAATAATAAAGGGCTATTAGGTGGCCTGGAGTTTAGGATGCTGGATCTTTCATGACAAGGTACAAAGTTTGAGTCCCAGATTCAGCAGCTTGAGAATCACTATCATTCACATGCACACATGCCCAAAATCCTGAAAGGAGACTGGAGGAGAAGGGATTCTGGCATAGCTATCCTCCCTGAGGGGTAACTTCTCATTTCGAGAGAGAGAGAGCTGGTATACCCTATAACAAAAATCATTTTAATAAATAAATAAGTTAATAATAATAATTAATAAATAAGATAAATCAATAAATAAAATTAGAAAAGATAAAAAAAGCCTAAAGAGTTAACTTAGCAAGTTTGCAGAATACAGGATCAACGTGCTAAAATAAATGTGTTGGGGCCAGCAGGTAGCATAGCGGTTAAG